CACGAGGAGATCTGGGTGCGCCGCCCTCTTGGCTTCACTGGGTCGTTCCCTCCTGGTACCCAGTGAAGCCTCCGGCGGCCGGTCTACGGTCTCTGCCAGGCGCCACATGAGTAGCACGACGCACTGAGGACGACACTTGCTGCTCTTGGGTTTGCTCCGTCGACTGCTAACCCGTCGCTGTTTCTGCGCACCGACACTTCGCTGCCGCCATTCTACATCCTCGTGTACGTCAATGACTTGGTCTTTGCCACTGCTGACACTGAGGCTCTCGCCCTGGTGAAGTCGGAGCTGCAGAAGAGACACACGTGCACAGACCTGGGTGAGCTACGCAGTTACATTGGCTTGCAGATCACCCGGGACAGAGCACGCCGCACCATCACACTGACTCAGTCACACATGGTGCAGCAGGTCCTTCAGCGCTTCGGCTTCACCTGGTCCTCGGCACATGCCACTCCTCTGGCTACAGGTCACTCGCTCTCAGCTCCACCTTCGGACGAGTCCGTAGAGCCGCGTGGTCCTTACCCAGAGCTAGTTGGCTGCCTCATGTACCTGATGACCTGCACTCGTCCTGACCTTGCGTATCCTCTTGGCCTTCTGGCTCGCTACGTGGCTCCTGGTCGGCACCGAAAGGTGCACATGGATGCTGCTAAGAGGGTACTACGCTACTTGTGCAGTACATCGGGCATGGGGCTCGTGCTTGGAGGACGGAGCGGCGTAGTCCTCACTGGGCACTCAGACGCTTCTTGGGTTGACGACCAGGCTACGCAGCGGTCGTCACAGGGTTACACCTTCAGCCTTGGCTCTGGTTCAGTATCTTGGCGTTCTACACGCTCGTCTTCAATTCTCAGCTCCAGTTGTGAGCTCTGCTAGCAACGCACCCCCCGCTTGTGCGAGATCTGGCTGCTAGCAGCGCAACCAGCCAGCCAGCGCGCGCCCTTCCTGCCAGCCCGCGCCCTGCTAGCTGCGCGCTCTACCTTTGCATGCACCGCAAGCAGAGCCAGCATCGCTAGCCACCCAAGCACTAGCAACGCATACCGCTGTCCCAGTAGAACTGAATCTCGCCCCGAATCTCCTGCCATTGGTGTTCCTAGCAGTGGCTTGGAGCCGCAGTCACTCGTGCTGGAGTAGTCTTGTGGTTAGAGTCGGTTCCTTGACCACCGTGCCTAGCCCGCCTTTCCTAGCCTGGCACTCCTAGCCCATCGTTCATAGCATGGTGTTGCCTTGCTCGCCGTTCCTTGCCTGATCTTCCTAGCATGTCGTGCCTAGCCGGCCACTCCTAGCCAACTGTCCTAGTTCCTGCTAGCTTTTGCCATGGCGACACCCAGAGTTCTCTGCTTCGACACAGAGGCCCGAGAGATAGACATTAGCAAGTAGCTAATATATGTTGAGCATTACCTTTAGAGTCAATGTCAGGATGGTGACACACTGTATGCTCATACATCAAGTGATTCGCTTGTCCCTTTCCGTCCCGACCCGCTTCCTGCTGAGCCCTCGCCTACCGGGGTGGAACTGGGAAACGTTTGTCAAGCGGCGCACGGAGAACATGGTGTGGTAGTCTTGCAACGCTGCGGCTCATATCGCTCTCAGCTATCTCCTCCGCCAAGGGTGTCCACTTTAGCTAGTTTTGGACAGCAAAGGAGTGCTTCAATGCTATCGTCTCTCACTATTCCACTCCTTCCTCCGCCACCCTTAGACACCTCCTCATGTCGTTCTTCTTCAAATCTGTGTTTGCCACTACTGCGCTCTCTCGACGCTAGCTACAATGCTTGCTGTGACACTACCCAACTTACTAGCTACCCCTTGCCTATGCTTGCCACCCTCTATTTCATCGTTACCCGTCTCCCTAACCACTCTCGTCTACACGTGATGGGCTTCTACAAAAGTACCCTGCTGCACTTACTACCGATCTCATTGAGACCACTCTCAATGAGATCTTGAGAGTAACCTCCCCTCTGCTGCCTCAACTACTGCTGGACCGGTTCCCTGTCTCTTTGACGGATGTGCTCTGCCCCAGCTCCCCACCTTCACGGGCTCCCTTGCTGCTACTGAGTCGTCTGCCACTCAGAAGAGTGCAGCTTTTTATGTTGTTGGTTCATACAAATGTGGCAAGGGAGGTAAGAAGGGGGAAAAGGGGGGCGCATATGGAGGTGGAGGTGGATGAGGTATTGGGGCGTTAGGACAAGGTGGCTCTGGAGGCGGTGCTGGTGCCGCGGGTCCGGTTGGAGGGGGTGCCGGTCTTGGGGGTGAGGCGGCAGCATAGCACCAGCAGCAGCAACAATGGCTGGAGCAGCCACACCACTAGCAGCATGTGCACTAGCAGGTGCAGCAGCAGCAGTAGTGTGAGAGTACAGCGTTCACGCATACACATATTTACTTTATCTTGCATATTTCGATTTTCTTATGCTTGTTTTCAAAAAAATGTTGCTTCACTATATCTATTACAGTTGTAGCACCGATCTAGGTTGTGTGCATGGAATCCAGTGGCATTTCGGTTATTTCCGCGTGACTGTGCGAGCATGTGACTTCGACCAAAAACCTACTACTAAATTCGGGAATGCTACGTTCCCGACAGATCCCGAGGCTTGGTACCTTCCAGTAATCTCTGAGCATCAAAATCACACTTGTACTTGCTAGGCTATCCTGGGGTACACTGTAGGGGTTACAATCCTAATTAGGTTTAGTCATTGTACCCCCCTCCTCACTAGTCTCGACATTCCTCTCATTCCTAGTTTCTCACATGATATATGAGTAGGCTACGCCACCTACTAGGGCCCACCATTCCGTTTCTACTTGAAGCGCTACTGCGCTTCCCTACTGCTCTGCCGGAAGCGCGTTGGGCTGCCCTGCCGCCAGCGCGCTATAATTTTTTCTCGCACTGTCGCGAACCCCCCTGCCTGCGCGCTGCTGTGCACTGTCGCGCACCCCCCTGCTCGCGCTCCTGCTGCCCAGCGCACCGCTCGCGCTGCCCGCCAGCAACCTGCGCCCTGCCCGCGCGCACCCCACATGCGCCTGCTGCCCAGCGCGCCGCTCGTGCTGCCCGCCAGCAATCTGCGCCCGGCCTGTGCCCTGCCCGTGCGCACCCCACGCGCACCTGCTGCCCAGCGCTCTGCTCGCACTACCCGCCAGCTGCCTGCGCCCTGCCTACGTGCCTCCTCCTGAGCGCTCCTGCTGCTGCTACTTGCTGCAGCTGCTGCTCCTTGCTACGGCTACTGCTCCTTGCTGCTGCTGCTACTTGTTGCCGCTGCTTTTGCTGCTTCTGCTGCTTCTGCTGCTGCGCCCTTCCCAGCCCGAGCCGCGCCGCCCTGCCGAGCCGCACCGCCCTGCTGAGCCGCGCCGCCCTGCCTAAGCAGCACTACCCTACTGCTCCTACTGCTGCGTCTGCTGCTGTTACTGCCACTGTTACTGCAGCTACTGCTACTGCTGCTATTGCTGCTACTGCAGCTATGGCTAACTTCTCAGTTCTTAGTTTTGACGCTGAGGGTCTCGCGATTTTCTTTTATGTTTGGCTCGATGATCTCCAGCTCTACCTGCAGAGCGAGGCTAGGGACAGAATTTCACTGTTCTTGCATACCGAAGGAACCCTCCCAGCCCCAGCTGCCACAGCGGTAGAGGATCATTCGAAGTGGCTCATGCGTGACGCCACTACCCGCCTTGCTGTCCGCAACCACCTGCCCGTAGCTGAGCGCGCGCACATTAGCCAGCAGAAAACAGCCAAGGCCCTCTATGACGATGTAGTAGCTCGCTACTCCTTTCCAGCTACTGCTGCCCTAGGCTGTCTCATGCTACCGTACCTGCATCCCGAGCTAGCCGATTTCCACACTGTCTCTGACCTCTTTATCCACCTCGGCTCTAGTGAGACCCGCTACCGCGCCGCTCTCAAGCCAACATTTCTTGCTGCAACCCCCCCCCCCCCCCCCCCCCCCCCCCCCCCCCCCGCGCTGTATATTGTTAGAGACTAAGGACGGAGTCTATGAAGATTAGGGGCCTAAATATCTCAAAATCGCTGGTCTCAATTTCTGGACAGAATAGTCGCGCTCACAAGAAACGTTGTCGACGAAAAACGCACCGTTCAAACTCCACCAATTTCGGATATGTTGTTGCCCTAGACCGTAGCTACAATTCCCAAGTTGAATCGTACCGAAAGATGAAGTATATTTTGAGTTATGTATTTTGGCGCACTAAGGGGTAAGCTGCCATAGAATCTTAACTCACAATGGCCACACAAGGAAGTTAGAGTAGCAATTAACCAGGTGGGAGGGGAGAGGAGGACGAGAGGGAAGGCCCCCAAGGAGTCCCCAACCAAGGAAACCCCATACCACGCAATTCCCCTCTCCATAGGCAACCCCACTTTCACTTTTGTCCCTTTCCCAACCTCCACAATCCACCTCACCCAAGTTGGCCACACTTGCCAACCCAATTTGGTTTCTCCCAACCACTTGGCAGCATCTACAGTGATGTTGACGAATTTCCCAACCCCCAAAAGTCTATACCCCTTATGGAGTCAACCTCACAACTTCCCATAGTCACCACAACCAAATATCAAAAGCATATGAACTTCAAATGTTCGTAACTTTCTTGTTCGTGCTCCGATTGAAGCGATACTTGGTTCGTCGGAAAGCTCTTCAGCCGAGGAGTCACTTCAGATATCTGCTTAAGCCAAATAACATTCACACACACTCAGAGAATCCAAACCACAGAAAACAGAAATTCTTGCACACGCTCACACCACGCATGCAACGCACGAACATATGATGGGAGGCAGACAGACGTGAATGCAGATGATAGCATCACATAACATATATGACCCTGTACTTCCTCGTTACTCGCCTCCCTGACTCCCTTCGCACTGTTAGGGACCAGTTCCTAGCCCTTGACCCCATCGAGATCACGCTTGACTCGCTCGAGAAGTCCCTTCTCTTAGCATTGTCGCTATCGCTGCCTCTTGCGGCACTCTCCGCTCCCCCTTCTTTAAAGAGTGTGCTCTCTCCCCTCTCCTCCCCTCAGTTGCCTCTACTGCTGAGGAAGTTGGCGCTGCGTCTGCTCCTAGTGGAAGGCGCAACAACAGCAAGGGCAAAGGGGGCAAGGGGGGTGGAGGTGGCACCAACGGAGGAGGTGGCGAGGGTGGTGGTGGCGGGGGCGGAGGCGGTGGGGGTGGCTCGGTAGGTGAAGGCGGTGGAGGCGGCGGGGGTGGTGGAGGCGGCGGGGGTGGTGGAGGCGGCGGGGGTGGGGGAGGCGGCAGGGGTGGTGGAGAAGGTCGGGGTGGAGCTAGCAAGGGTGGAGGCCGTGGTGGTTCCGCTCCCTCAGATGTGTCTCAGGTAGACCCACCCCCCTTGGATGAGCCTGTGGAGATCTCTTTGGACTCCTCTGGCCCAGCTGAGGGGGGTGACCCCGCCGCGGACGACACGGCGGCCCGTCCCCGCTCTCCACGCTTGGAGACCCCCCCGGGCTTTCCACCGCGGCCGTCTTCGCTGTTATAGTCACAGTATGCTCCAATGTGCCTAAAACGAAAGATAGAGTGCACAGTCGGATTTCTGCACAGCGGCTTCAAACGTTCATAGCGTTCTGGTCACAGCTTCAAATGACCTGATTCAACTTGGATCTGGAGCGTCTTATTGTCGCCTACAATGGGCAATTTAGATCGCACGATTTCACCAAGTATTGACGACACAACGTCAGTTTGAACGAACGGCACTATGGCAGCCACTATAGTCTTAGAACACAAGATAGGAAGAGTTAGGAAGAGTTACGAGTTGGGAATGATTCCCAGCTCCTACAAACCCCAAGAGCCGAGGTACAGTGATGTGGAACAGTGCCACACTGTCCCCAACCACGAAGGGTCTCGAAACTACCCTTCACTAGGGCCTACACCAAGTGAAATGTTACACTACACAAAGTAATGTAACTATCTTCAATATCTTGAGGTGTACCCTTTTGGCGAGCTTCGACATCACTTGAGGCTTGACACCAAGGCTCGGGCTCTTCATCACAAACTCATCCTTGAGTTCTTGATGGGTCTGCTTCACACACCTGCGATACGCCGAACGTTCGACACAGGACAAAATAGAAACCGCGCACGACAAAATAGATACCGCGCGCGAGACACAAACGACCGCGTAACACGCGTCTAGCGATAACTCGCTATTGACTCGACACACACACTCGACATCATGACTCAACATTCACATACAATTATAAGCATGAAATATATATTATCCCATGCCCTCATACCATTCCATACACAGACACATGCACGCACACGGACAACAAGCCGAGTGCAAACCGTAGGGTTGCACCAACAAACTCCCCCTCGGATTGTTGGCCTTAGGATATGTTGCTCTCTCAGTTCAGAGCCATCCCAGCCAGCTTGCAACACTTCCAATGCTGCTGCTCCACCAGCCTCTTGGTCATCATGTCAGCCGGCTACCCCGTGGTCTTCACGTAGCGCAACTCAACTTCACCCGCGGTTACCATGCTCCTCGTCCAATGCCACTTCACCCTCATGTGCTTCGTGAGTCCATGCAACACAGGGTTCTTAGCAAGAGCAATGGCACCCTGGCTGTCACAGTACAGTGGGGTAGGTCCTTGCTGCTCCTCCCCCAATTCAGCCAACAAACGCCGCTGCCACACAATCTCCCGTACGGCACGGAAGAGTGCCATGTACTCGGACTCCACCGAGCTCAAAGCTTGGTCAACCTGCTTCTTGCTCTCCCAAGCAGTTGGGCCTCCACCAACACAGCATATGAAGCCTCCCACACTTGTCATGTCCTCTGGTTCTGATGCATATGAAGCATCCGAGTAGGCGGTGAGGAACAAACGCCCGGGTTCAACACCATCTGCGCCCTTTTGGCGCCTTTGTGCCGCCGCCGAGTATTGCAGCCCAACGGTCGGTGTTTGGCCAAGATACTTGGCCACCCTCATTCCAGCTGCTACCTGCTCCTCATCAGGGCATTGCACAACCCTAGCCAGCTCCCCGGTAGCAAACGCGACGTCCGGTCGGGTGTTTACCGCCGCATACATGAGGCTGCCCACCAACGAGTGAAATCGGCGCCTCTCCTCTTCTCCAACGCTCTCCTCCTCTGGCCCCTTCACACACTTGAACCCAGAGGGAAAGGGAGTAGCCACATGACCTTCACTCTGGCCGAAGTTGGCAGCCAACACCTCCAGGTACTTCCGTTGGTGCACTCGCATGCTCCGCTTCTCCACGTCTCGTTCGATGTGGAGCCCAAGGTAGAAGTTCACGTCACCAAGGGACTTGCACTTGAACTTGTCTTGCAGCTTCAGCATCACCTCCTTCACAAGGTCAGGAGAGGGTGAGAAGATCAGGATGTCGTCCACGTACACCACCATGAAGCTCCTCTGCTCCCCCTCGCCAAGCATGAACAAGGAGTGATCGGCCGTTGAGGGAGTGAAGCCGATCCCCTCCAACACTTCGCGCAGCTTCATGTACCATTGCCTAGGGGCCTGCTTCAGCCCATAGAGGGCCTTCTTCAGCTTCCACACTCTGCCACTACCATCATCAAACCCCTCTGGCTGCGCCATAAAAATCTCCTCCTCAAGGATGCCGTTAAGGAATGCCGTTACGATGTCCATTTGTTTTACTACCCATCCTTTGATGGCGGCTCCCGCGAATAGGGTTCGCAGCGTCGTCGGCTTCACCACAGGGGCAAACAGCTCCTTGAAGTCCACCTTCTCCTTCTGCTGGTACCCCTTGGCTACAAGCCTAGACTTGTAGCGCTCGATCTTGCCGTCGGCATCCGACTTGATTTTGAAGAGCCACTTGGACGTTATCGCCGTACGCCCCTCCGGTAGCTCCACCAATTCAAACGTGTCATTCTCCTCGATGCTCTTCAGCTCACTCTCCATGGCCTTCTTCCACTCCTCAGCATCACTACTCTCCAAAGCCTCCTTGAGAGTTGCTGGTTCTCCCGGCATCTCCACCGGAGAGAAGAACGCGAAGGCACACTCCTCGTAGTCACTCTCCTCGTCGTCTCCGACCATCATTGCCGCTCCGGCCAGGGCTGTCTTGCCCTGCTTTCCCGGCGCATCATAGGTCAGCCTATTAGGGGGTTGAACTCTCCTCTTCCCCCTTCCTTCCTCCTCAGCTGCAGGGACTTGAAGGCCTTGGCGTTGCTGCGGTGTGGCTCGAATCCGTGGAGCACTCGTAGTACGGGAAGGGAGTGACGGTGCACGCTCGCTCACTTGCTGCACCTCCTCCTCTTCTTCCTCTGCATCATTGGCCTACTCTCCCCCATTCACAAGGGAGGATTGCCTTGTGGTTGTGCTGCCGCTGCTCAGCTCCAAAGGCAGCTCCACATGCTCCAAACCGGAACTCTTCACCTCCCCAAACCGCACGCCTATCTTCGCCTCATTCTCCGCCTTCCAATCCTTGTACATGAAGTTCTCCATGAACTTGCAGTCCCTGCTCACCAAGAACTTCTTGGTGAATGGGTCCCAAAGAAGCCATCCCTTGCTGTTTTGAGTCATGCCCAAGTGCACGGCCCACACCACCTTGGCACCAAGCTTGTTGTGCCAAAGATGCTTAGGCACGAGCGCCATGCACATGCACCCGAACACCCGAAGCATATCCACCTTTGGCTTCCTTCCTAGCCACTCCACATAGGGCACCCATTTGTCTGCTCCCACATGAGTCAAGGCTCTGTTCTTGGCCACACACGCGCTCCGCACCGCATCAGGCCAGAAATAGTCGGGTAGCCCGGCTTCAATGAGCAACCCGCGTGCCGCCTCCGTGATTGTGCGGTTCGCTCGCTCGGTGATGCCGTTCATTGCAGGGGAGTATGGCATGGTGAGGGAGTGCCGAATACCATTCTTCTTCAGCCACAACCCAAACTCCTTGCTCAGGAACTCTCCCCCTCGATCGGTGCGGATTGACTTGACTAGACGGTCTTGTTGCCGCTCCACCATCGGGAACCAATCCGTCTTCAACGTTTCAGCCACGTCGCTCTTCTTGGCCAGCACATACACCCAAGTCATGCGGGTGTAGACGTCGACAATGGTGAGAAAATACTCAGCTCCAGCAGCTCCAAGCTTCAGGGGGCCCACCACGTCCATCACCACCTCATCAAGCGGTGCCTTTGCCGTTGCCTCCGAACTAGGGAACGGAAACCGGGTGAACTTGGCTCGAATGCACGTCGGGCAGCCAAGCACCTCATCGGGCTCCCCCTTCACACGTATGCCAGCAACCATCTCATTCTTCACTAGCTGCTGCAAGATGGGCAGGGCCACATGCCCCATGCGCCGATGCAAGGTGAGCCAATCACACTCCCCCGTAGCCGAAGTTGGATTGGAGAATGCCGCGCTCGCAATAGCGCCCCACATACTCTCTGTCACATCGGCTTTGGGGCAGCGAGCAGAGGTGAAAGGCATGGGGAAGGCCATGTTCAAGGGTGCTGATGGGAAGATGGTGGGCCTCAAGAACGTGCTTTGGGTGCCCAGCCTTGCTGCAAACCTGATTTCCGTGCGGCGGTTGGCAAAGGCCGGCATGGACACGAACTCGAAGGGAGCCAAGACCTACACCGCAAGGCTTGGCGATCGAATTCTTTGGGACCTTCATGAGGACAGGGATGTCTACAACGAGATGTGGCAGATCCCAGTGGTCCCTATGCCTAAGGAGAGGCAAGTGGCAGCAAGCATCAGCACCAAGGATGGAGCGGTCGGTACCGACGATGGCGCGAACGGTCGCGCTAAGGAGAATGAGCTCAAGAAGAGCAAACCTGGAGGGACCAGCAAGTTCAGTGAACCTAAGGAGAGTGGTGCAGCAACCGGTGACGGCTCGAGTTCGGTGAGCAAGTCCGGGCGAGGTGTCATGCTATAGGTAGCGCCACTATCAATCACCCAATAGTCCAGGGGGTGTAGGGTCACCTTCCCCACAGCTGCTGGCTCCTCAAAGCCTTCATCCTTCTCTGGACCAGCCGGTACTTGCGTCGACACGAAGTAGAATAGACCCGGGTACCGATCGTCGCTCGGGTCCTTGTCGTTGTCTCCGCTCTTCATGTTTGCAGCTCCGCCACCGCGACCGCCACGGCCTCCATGGCCTCGTCCTCTCCCTCCTCCTGCTCTTCTACCCTCTTGGCCTTGAGCAGGGGTCCAACCATCAGGGAGTTTGTAGCAGTCGCGCCACATGTGTCCGCTCTTGTGGCAATAGTGACACTCGCCGTCGAATCGGCCGCGACCGCGTCCGTAGCTCTTGTCGTCGCTGCCGTAACCGCCACTCCCGCGGCCTCCGTCGAAGTTGCTGCCACCAAACTTTCCTCCCCCTCGTCCTCTGCCTCTTCCTCGACCATATCCACGGCCGATGCTCGCTGCCCCAGCGCCATCCGCACTCGCCAACTCACGGCGGCGGAAATCCTCTTGAAGGATAGCTCGCTTGACGTTTTCAAGCGAGAGGCGGGGCAAGTCGTGATTAAGGATGATGATGAGCGAGGACCATGACTCAGGGAGTAGGGCCAGCAACTTGGTCTTCTTTTGGAGCTCACTATAGTTCAAATCAGCTCCCTCAAGCCGCGTCAACAAGTCGAAGAATTTCTGCACCCCTTCTTCAACCGCTTCATCCTCTTCAATTCGTAGTGTCGCCATTTGCCGTTCCAACACCACAGCTACCGCCGCTGTTGCAGGAGCGTGTACACCCTTGAGAGCAGCCCATGCCTTTGGTCCCTTCTCTGGTTCACGCTGGAAAGGCTTGATGTGACGGATCTGGCTGCTCCCCAACGCTTGCCCTTGTAGGAGATAGCCTTGTGCGCTCTTCCGCACCCACGGGCCGGGTCATTCTCGGGGCGCTTCTCCGTTCCTTCCATCACCTCCAGCAGGTCATAGTGATCAAACACGTTCTCCATTCTGAAGGACCACTCAGCAAAGTTGTCACCGTTGAACTTGTCAAGGCCAAACACTCTAGGCTCGTCCCTAGATGGGCCAACACTTGGTTGCACGGGCGCCATGGCTGAGTCACGGGGTTGGCCTTGAGCTTGGGCTTCTCCACTGCCACCAGCACCTCTGCCACCCCTTTCCTCAGGTCCAGAAATTGTCGAAACTGCTCCAAGGGGCTCTGATACCACTTGTTATAGTCACAGTAGGCTCCAATGTGCCTAAAACGAAAGATAGAGTGCACAGTCGGATTTCTGCACAGCGGCTTCAAACGTTCATAGCGTTCTGGTCACAGCTTCAAATGACCTGATTCAACTTGGATCTGGAGCGTCTTATTGTCGCCTACAATGGGCAATTTAGATCGCACGATTTCACCAAGTATTGACGACACAACGTCAGTTTGAACGAACGGCACTATGGCAGCCACTATAGTCTTAGAACACAAGATAGGAAGAGTTAGGAAGAGTTACGAGTTGGGAATGATTCCCAGCTCCTACAAACCCCAAGAGCCGAGGTACAGTGATGTGGAACAGTGCCACACTGTCCCCAACCACGAAGGGTCTCGAAACTACCCTTCACTAGGGCCTACACCAAGTGAAATGTTACACTACACAAAGTAATGTAACTATCTTCAATATCTTGAGGTGTACCCTTTTGGCGAGCTTCGAAATCACTTGAGGCTTGACACCAAGGCTCGGGCTCTTCATCACAAACTCATCCTTGAGTTCTTGATGGGTCTGCTTCACACACCTGCGATACGCCGAACGTTCGACACAGGACAAAATAGAAACCGCGCACGACAAAATAGATACCGCGCGCGAGACACAAACGACCGCGTAACACGCGTCTAGCGATAACTCGCTATTGACTCGACACACACACTCGACATCATGACTCAACATTCACACACAATTATAAGCATGAAATATATATCATCCCATGCCCTCATACCATTCCATACACACACACATGCACGCACACGGACAACAAGCCGAGTGCAAACCGTAGGGTTGCACCAACATTCGCCGCCTCCGCAGCCTGCTGCTGTGGACTCTGGAGCTGCTGCTGGCAGTAACTCTGGGGATGAGGGTTCTAGGGGTGCTAAGACCGAGGGTGAGGGTTCTGGGGGTGCTTCCTCTGGGGGTGCTGACTCTGGGGGTGCTGCGAGTTCTAGTGACGGTGGAGCTGTGGGTGGCCCTGCTAGAGGTCCAGGAGCTGGACCGCCACAGCAGCCTGGTCTACTCGGGTCACTCTCGCCGCAGCAGATTCGTGAGTAGATCGTTCGGCGTAGCAGTCCTGGTGGTGGTGCTCGTGTTGGAGGTACTCCCGGACGTGCTGCTGGTGCTGGAGCTACTAGTCCTGGAGGTCCTGCTGGTGCTGGAGGTGCTGGGGCTGCTAGTCCGGGGGGTACTGCTGGAGGTACTGGAGGTGTTGCTGGTGCTGGAGATGCTGGAGCTTCTAGACCTGGAGGTGCTGCTAGTGTTGGAGGTGCTACTAGTGCTGGAGGTGCTGGAGGTACTACTGGAGGTACTTGAGCTGCTAGTGCTGGAGGTGCTGCAGGTGCTAGAGGTGCTGGAGCTGCTATCGCTGGAGGTGCTGGTGCTAGAGGTACTAGAGGTACTACTGGAGGTGCTGCAGGTGCTGGAGGTGCTGGAGCTGCTAGTGCTGGAGGTGCTGGTGCTAGAAGTGCTGGAGCTGGAGGCACTAGAGCTGCTGGAGCCGACCGTTTTTCTACCCGCAGCCGCAGTCGTCCCTTCCACCACCTGACTCGGCCCTTCACCAGGTTCTTAGTCTCCCGTCTTCCACTGGCTTCACTCCACCTCTCCTGTGTACACCGAAAAACCAGTCCCTGCCACAGCTACTGCCTAGCTCCCCACTGCCTACTCCTGCCCCTCCCACTGAGGTGACTTAGTCCCTGACTGAGCGTCGTGAGCCCGAGACTCGTGCTTCCACACCTGTTCGTGCTCGTCGGGTCACTCGTCCTCGTCCTCCACCTGTCCCAGACACAGACGTTGTGACACTTCGACCTTCCTTTGTTCCACAGAGTGTTCCCCAGCTGTCTCCTCCGGCGTCCTCTCTTCCTCATATTCCTGACACTGCGCCAGACCTTGCTCGTGCTGCCAGTCCTACTGTCATTCGTCTCCTTGCTACAGTCATCACTGACCCTGCGTTTAAGTCTACTGCTGCGTTTTCCCTAGTCACTGAGCTTGTCGACTTTGCTGCTCGGAGTCATCTCGACTACGTCGCGAGTCTTGTTACTGAGTCTGAGTCTGTCTGTCCTCCGTCCATTGGGGGTGAGCCTACCCCTGGCAGTGACGTCCTTCAGGACAGGCATTGAGCTTGAGTGTCCTGCGGCCGTTTTACCTCGTTTTGCATCCATGCTGCTTTGCCCTAAGGGAGACCCGAATGCACTTGACATCCCTACCCCGCGCATTTACGCTGAGGCGATCGTGGGTGAGTACTCCTCTCAGTGGCAGACAGCCATGGATGCAGAGATGGGTTCCTGGAAGTCCACAGGCACCTACGTCGACGAGGTTCCTCCTACTCGGGCGAAAATCGTCGATGGCATGTGGATTTTCATAGTGAAGCGGTCGTCGGGTTCTCTGCCTGTCTTCAAGGCGCGTAATGTTGCTCGAGGCTTCAGTCAGCGACAGGGGGTCGACTACTTCCAGACCTTCTTACCCACCCTGAAGATGACTACTCTTCAGGTGTTGCTTCACGTTACAGCACAGCGTGACTACGAGCTGCACTTCCTCGACTTCTCCACAGCTTTCTTGCAGGGCAGCCTTCACGAGGAGATCTGGCTGCGCCGCCCACCTGGCTTCACTGGGTCGTTTCCTGCGGGTACCCAGTGGAGTCTCCGGTGGCCAGTCTATGGTCTCCGCCTGGCGCCCCGGGAGTGGCACGACACACTGAGGACGACACTTGCGGCTCTTGGGTTTTCTCCTTCCCCAGCTGACCCGTCGCTGTTTCTACGCACCGACATTACCCTGACGCCATTCTATGTTCTCGTGTACGTCGACGACTTGGTCTTTGCAACTGGTGACACTGAGGAGCTGGCCCTAGTGAAGGCGGAGCTGCATGAGAGACACACCTGCACTGACTTGGGTGAGCTGCGGAGCTATCTTGGCTTGCAGATCACCCAGGACAGAGCACGGTGCACCATCACCATGACTTAGTCACATATGGTGCACCAGGTCCTCCAGCGGTTCGGCTTCCAGTTCTCCTCGCCACAGCCTACTCCTCTGCCTACAGGCCACTCGCTCTCAGCTCCACCTTCAGACGAGTCCGTAGAGTCGAGTGGTCCGTATCCAGAGCTTGTAGGTTGCCTCATGTACCTGATGACATGCACATGACCTGACCTTGCGTACCCTCTCAACCTTCTAACTCGCTACGTGGCCCCCGGTAGACATCAAAAGGTGCACTGGGATGTTGCGAAGAGGGAACTGCATTACTTGTGCAGCGCATCGGGCATGGGGCTCGTGCTTGGAGGACGGGGTTTAGTGGTACCTACAGGGCACTCCGACGCTTCTTGGGCCGACGACCAGGCGACTCTGCGTTTCTTCGCAGGGTTATACCTTCAGTCTTGGCTCTGACTCTGTCTCGTGAAGGTCCACTCGTTCTTCTTCTATGCTTGGTTCCAGCAGTGAGGCCGAGATCTACGCTGGGGCTATGGCCGCACAGGAGCTACGCGGACTGACCTACTTGCTGGCCGACTTGGGGGAGTGGCCTCGTTCTCCTCCAGTTCTGTACGTCGACAACAAGGCCATGCTTGCCTTGTGTCACGAGTAGAGACTGGAGTATAGAACGAAGCACATTGCTCTTCGCTACTTCCTTGTGTGTGAGCTGTAGTAGTGTGGTTGGCTGCGCCTTGCTTACGTGGCCTTCCGGGCTAACACTGCTGATGTCTTCACCAAGGCCCTTGGGTTTGGTGATCATCAGCGCTTTTGCACTACTCTAGGGCTTCTGCCTACTCTGCCTCACCTGCTGGTTTCTTGACTTGTCCTTGTTGTACACTGCTATATATCTTTATACCTGCATGTTTACACTTGCTAGGTTGTGCGGAGATAACTTTAGCAACGGGAGCTAGGTTACGGGCTAGGCACAAATGCTCGTGTGATCTCTGCGTTCGTTGTTCCTTAGTCGTTTTCCTAGTGCACACACTGTTTGCTAGTTCACAGGGCAATTTGGCAAGAGTTTTACTAAGAAAGGTTGACAACAATGATAGTAACAACATTGGCATGCAAGACTACATCGGACCTAGTAAAGCTGCTGGTCGACCTCCAGCGCAACATGGTCGACCGCGCTCCAGCGCAGCAGCGCTCGCACCGCTCCTGCGTTGCAGAATAGCGGTTCGCCTGCGTTGCAAGTCCACGGTGTGCCAACGCTGCAGCAAGTCGGCTGCATAGCGTTGCACCCGCAGGACAACAGTGCACCTACTTCGCAGGTGCGCGCAGCTGGTTGGCGCTCCACAGCTTGTCACGAGCACAGCGCAGACGCCTGGCAGACTCCACACCAGCGACTGCGCCTACCAGCCACGTTGACCTCGGGATACCACCCCAGAGGTCGGCCTCGCAGAAGTCACCCTCGCAACCTTCGCACACGTCGCCCGGGTATCCCGGTCGACCAGGCAACCACGCCTAGTCGACCAGCCCTGTCTATCGCCGGCTGCACATGCCCGGCGTCCCCAATCCGGTGTCTAGTTGTCCAGGGCGCCGACCAGACGCCCAGGTCGGTGTCCAGGCGCCCAGGACGCCGTGCAGACCTCCAGGGTGGCGTCCAGCCTCCGAGGACGCCGACCAGACGCCCAGGTCCGCGTCCGGCCTCTTAGGACGGTGCGCGGACGCCCCGGTCGGTGTCTGGCCTCCCAAGACGCCATGCAGACGCCCCGGTCGGCGTCCAGATTCCCAGAACGCCACCAAGGCGTCCATTACGGCGTCCTCCTGCTCGGCACCCTTGCACTGGCGCCCGTGCCCACTACTGAAGTTCGGCTGCAACCCCCGCACATCCGACCACAAGGTCGGCTCTGCCCAAGCGAGGACGGGGCCACACAACACTCCTGTTGACAGGTTGTAATCTATGTACTGCCTTGCTCTTATAACTCTGTATGTGAACTGGCCTTATGGCCGCTTGCTTGTGCCTGGACTGTGTGGTATCCTTGAGATCTACCCTGGCCTTTCCTTTGCTGTGTTCTCTTGCTTGACTAGTCGTGTGACCATCTGGTTGTTCCCCGCTTAGCCTATGGGGGTGTGTCAAAATCACATTTGTACTTGCTAGGCTATCATGGGGTACACCGTAGGGGGTACAACCCTAATTAGGTTTAGTACTTGTACCCCCCTCCTCACTAGTCTCGACATTCCTCTCATTCCTAGTTTCTCACATTGAGTTACTTGCTTTGTTTCGTGACTACATATATAGCCACTAGGTTGTACTCAAGATTCATGATAAAAAACAGAACTCAATCCTTCGATCCTCACACTTGGTAATCAAAGCTCGTTTGCACGCGATGTTCTTTAATCGCTAAAACCCAGCCTTAAGAAAAACCACAGAGGGCGACCACGAAAAGCACCGAAACGGGTACGTAAACCAGTTCCGCATACATTTTGATGTCCCCCTTCAACCGGTTTTTGAGCAAGCATGTCTGGCATAGAAGGGCGACGACAATTTCGTGCAGAAATCGCCGCACTTCGTGCCGAACAGGAGCCAACTCGCATGACTCTTCAACGACTCGAGGCGTTGATCGCGAACCAGTAGGCATTCGCCACAGCAGCAATGAACGCAGCAGCAACGGCAGCAGCGGTAGGAGCGACACCGACATTTCAACATGTGACGGTGGCACCGGCTACATTAAAACTCTTGGCAGCACTTCCGAGGCTGCCAGAGGCGTTCGATCCTAGCGCGAAAGGCACTGACGTCCGTGGATTCATCGCTACACTCGAAATTTATTTCGATGACGTTGGATGCACGACCTCGATACACGATCGATGCGGATTTGGCTTGTAGTGACACTGTTACGAGGCTCGATACTGGAATGGATATACAGTAATGAAATGCGAGGCGAAGGGTCATGGGCGCGGTTTCAGGCAGTCTTGATTCAACGTTTCGAACGAATTAATTCGTCATACATGGCGCGGCAACAAATTCACCAACACCAGCAATTTGTCAATGTGGCGCAGTACACGCATCAGATAAAGTCTCTTTTTTTTTTTAATGCATCGACGACTTAACGGATGGAAAAAAATATCAAGCGTACACCACCAGGCTGAAAATCGAAGTTCCCCAACAGGCCATCACCGCGAACTACAGCAGCTACAAGGACATGGTGTGTGCTGCCGAAAGGTTCGACGCGTTGAACAAGGGTCAACACAAAACACGACGTAGCATGCCAAACAAGACTTTCGGCACGGAGCGATCGGCACCCCCCACAACTGCCGACTTGATGGATATGGACAAAGCCGACGCGAAGCAGCGGCCGGCGATATTTGACACGTGCGAATTTAGTGGCGCAGCAGGGCATCGAATATTGTCGTACTGGAAAATGAAAAAGGCACATGCAGAATTACAGGGCAAGAACAGTGCAGCACCCCCGAAGTAAAAAAATGTGAACTGCCAGTAGCCGCAGATCTAGCTGGCGAGGGCGAAATGATCTGGAAAAGGGAAGAAGGCTACGACTTGGCGACTTTGGAGCTGGTGAAGAAATGAGAAAATGATGACACGAACTTAAAATGTTATGACTGGCCGGCACTAGAGGAATTCACCGAGGAAAAACGGGGATTTGCGAAAAATGACTCTACACCAACCGAGAAACTCCAGCCGAACACCCATGAGTGTAAAAGGTCGTTCATGTTATCCTAAAAGGATACTTTAAGTAGAAATATTACTTCTCATGATTTTCAAGCCTTTGGATAGGGAGAGTTCGAGGCTAAGAGAAAGCCTTTCGAAATAGTACCGATACCGGAAAAGTGTCGAAAAGGGTCGAGTGTTTCGTTGAGTTAATATTCTCCCCCAGAAGCACGATGTGAAGGCTCCCTGTTCCCCACAAGTGAAGCCAACACAGCTGCTAAGGCTTAGGGGAAGGTTCCACCTAGGAGAAGTTTTATCGGCATCAGAAGAATTCTTTAATCTCTTAGGTGAAGTTGGAAGTAGAAAGTGCAGCTTCGGGTGTAGGGAATAGAAGTGATTACTTCGATATAGCCCATGACCCTATTAATGAGACCATCTTTAGCTATTCGGTGTGACAGTAACCACTACTCCTCGAGGTGCTCTACAAAGGGCGACGTCCCTAGGCAATGGTGGATTGTGGAGCGTCCCACTCGGTGTGCGACCGTGGGGCATTGGAGAAAAATGGGGAATCATCGAAGGAGACCCAGTTTACAGCAACGTTCGTGGACGGTAGCAAGCTATCCATCCACAGCGAGTCAACACCACAGCTACATATAGGTGCGTAGAGGTGGAAGCTGACGCTACCAGTCACAAACATCTATGGTTTAAGTTTTATCTTGGGGAGAGACTCTCTGAAGCAATTCAACCCCGAGATAAACTAGGTCAATCGTAAAGTCTACATTCATAACAACAGGAAACGTGTTGAGCAACGAATTTGAATGGATACATAGGATATTCCTGAGGCGACACTTGCACGGTTCGAGCGAACGGTGAATGGGAGTCGGAGTTATATGGCATTGGTGATGGCAGCGGAGGAGGAGAAGCCGAATTCGGATCTATCTGCAGCAGTACAAAAGGTTATAGAGGAGTACAATGACATCATGCCATACGATATCCCGGCAGGAGTGCCTCCAGCGCGAACCCACGAACACGAGATTGTGAAAGAGCCAGGTGCAAAACCCGTCTCCGGGGCACCATACCGCCTCAACCCTGCCTAACTAGCAGACATGAAAAAACATATAGGGTACATGCTGGACCGGAAATAGATGTGACCATCCACCTCTCCCTACAACGCACAAGTTCTTTTCACTCGTAAGCCGGACGGTAGTTTACGAATGTGCATCAACTACCAGGCACTCAACAAACAGACAGTCATTAACAAATATTCCATATCGCACATTGACAAACTCATGGATCAACTACATAGTGAAATGGTATTTTTGAAGCAGGACCTACAGTTGGGTTACTGGCATATAAGAATGGCAGACAACTCAATCCACGAGACGCTGTTTCGTACCAAATATGGCTCCTACTAGTTTTTTGTGATGTCGTTCGGACTCTACAATGCACTGGCAACATTTCAGGCGGAGATGAATCACACCCTATGGCCCCTGCTAGACGAGTGCGTAGTAGTATACGTGGTTGACATTCTCATCTACTCCAAAAACATGAAGGGGCACGTGCAGGATCTGCGCAAAAGTCTTCGAGATCATGCGGAAGAACCAACTACTACAACAGGTTGGTGCCACAGTACGCTAAAATAGTAGTGCCACATACGAACTAATTGAAAACTGGTGCCCCCCATAAAAAAGATACACCTTAACAGTAAGCCATGGAGCAGCTAGAGATGCCACTATCCACTGCCCCTGTATGCATCCTATCGAATCCAGAGAAAGCCTACGCTGGGAAATGATGGGAGAGGGTAGGAGGGCAGGGTGGGAGAGGTGAGGAGGGTAGGATGGGAGCGGAGTACGTGAGAGGAGAGAAGGAGTGACAGAAACCCAAGCAGAAGATGACAGGAGAGGTGCAGCGCAGGTGGTCGTGGTGTAGAGAGGCGACAGGATATTCACACCTTGAGCCCACACAGAGCCACACTCCTGCGGATTCCAAATATGACACCGAGCCACACTCCTGCAGATTCCAGAGCTCAGAGTGGCATTGCAGCGCGCCACACCAACAATTCTGTGTGGAGCAACGGTTGTGCAGAACCCGGGTGGAGAGGAGGGCAGGACGGGAGAGGAGAGGAGGGCAGGACAGGAAAGGAGAGGAGGACGGGATGGAAGATAAGAGGAGGGCATGACGGGAGAGAAGAGGAGGGCAGGATAGGAGAGGAGAGGAGGGCAAGATGGGAGAGGAGAGGAGGGCACGGCGGGAGAGGAGAGACATGGACGCACGATGGTATGCTAGTACATAAAGGGACGTCTGAATTTGAAAGGAAAGTGGATCAGCGAGGTGAAAGTTCGGGGAAGGGGTTGGGGGGGAAGAGGGAGGGAGGGAAAAGGGAATTGTGGCACATCATCGCAAACGGCAAGGGAGATTCTTGACGGAAAATGGCCTGGGTATTGGTCGATTTGGACGGGTTGGAATGGGATCTCGCAGTTTCGATGCTCACCTTGCATACGTCAACTACGGACTGGGTTCCACATATACCACGGATACACAGGCGAGTCGCTTATCCAGGGAAATGGCAATCAGTAATCTGCAAGCTAAGGTTTCACCATTAAGAGAATGTGAGCAATGTTTGATAGGAAGAGGGAAGCCTAGTGGGTGACGTGTGGTAAGCTAAGGAGAGGAAGAGTGAACCGCTAGTGAGAAACCAAAACAACATAGGAAGCAAACTTTGGCAGAACACTTCAACATGTGACATGGGAACGAAGCACTAGAACACAGAGGCCAATGTGTCTTCTTCCTTATGTGATATTGTAGGTAGGAAAGAGCATCTTAGGTATCCTGGATCAAAGCAAAAGAAACATATGCGCAGGACACACCAATACCCTCACTATGGGACCAGACACAAAACCGTATTGGTTTTGCAAGCGTCAAGATGCCTTTTTCAATGAGACAAGAATCAAAGCCATTGTATGCTTCACATTAGGCCAACCACTTGGCAGCCTACGTCAACTCCAGCATATTGGTTGCAGCATCATATCGAGCATAGGGACCTGATTCACGGCACTTATGGCCTCTTTACAAGGGGGCACATGGCAGGAGTTGCATACGTTGGATAACTCCTACTAAAAAAACATGTTGGCAGCTTTCAAGTACAGCATCGTACAGCTGGATGGCATGTGTGATGCCTCAAACAGCAAGTACTAGTGGTTCATTAGAAGCAACACAAACAAGAAATTACCACACACAACCATTGCCCATGTGCTCTGATCTGAAATGCTGTTTTTCCAGTGCCACCTCACCTCAGATCACATGCATATGTTAAATGATCTCAAAAAGGACCACTACACCCCAAGAACCACACTTACTTACATGGGCTCGAAATTGGAGCCACTTAGAATGTTCTTAGTGTTGAGAGAAGTGTATCCAAAGGGTAGCCATGATTATAAAACACTAATAAAATAAATTCCTTTAATGCAACGCCCACAAACGGTGTGGCAGCAACTACTATGTCGCCGCCAATCCCGAGCGTTATGCGCGTGGAGCCAAACCGAATTGCTATCCAAAACGCTGTGAAGTTAGCGCACAAGCGGGGTGTGATTCTGGGCCTGCAACTCCTGTCAAGCATTCAGCTGACGTGGTGAGCGTCCCCGATATTCACAACGGTTTCAAGGTCAGTTGGCACATTCGTGTTATTCGTTGTGGAGATCGTTCGTGTGCACCCTTCTAATTCTATAAGGAATCAGGTGCTTGCCACAAAGCCTTGTTGTTTCTGTAACGCGACGTTCCCATCTCGCGTTCAAGCCTACTACCTTCTCTCCTCCCACGTCCTTCTCTCTCCACAAGGCTGTTCACTTCCATCCTGCCCTCCCCCTTCCTGCCATCCTCTCTCATGCTGCCCTCGTCTCCCATCTTGCCCTCCTCTCCCATCCTGCACTCCTCTCCCATCCTGCCCTCCTCTCCCCCCTGCTCTCCTCTCCCATCATGCCCTCCTCTCCCATCATGCCCTCCTCTCCCATCCTACCATCCTATCCTGTGATGAGCACATCCCCAATCCACCCAGGTTTTGCACAACAGTAGCAACACAAGAACTTGCTGGTTTGGTGTGTTGCAGTACCTTCATATGCGCACTGGGCTTTTCCTGGTATCAAGAGGAGCATACTCAGTAATAGAAGGCGGGCACTGTTTTTTCGGGGGGTCTATCGTCCCGCCAAGGGTGAGGATGACCATGTCATCTCGACTCCACTACCATAATAAACCTCCTCCACTTCCCTCGTGCTCTCCTCGCCTCTCCGATGCAACCCTCCTCGTCTCTTCCCTTTCTCCCCCCTTCTCCCCTCGTGCCCTCCATTCGTCTCCACTTGTGCTCTCCTTCATATCCCATCCGGCCATACCTTCCCCTCTTATCCAGCCCTCCTTTCTGAGTCCCTTATGCCCCCTAACCTCTCATCTCCTATTCCTTCTTGCTATCCTCTCTTACCTCGTCCCTCTCTCTCCTTCACCTTACTGCCCTCTACTTCCATGCAGGATATCGCAATCATCGCACTGTCAACTAGGAGGATGACTTCTGCTCGGGCGTGTCAAGCGATGTGGTGACAACAATTCGGATGCAAATTAGATAGTCAGGTTCATCGGGGCTCGTGTGTGTCAGAATATGGGGGCAAAACACTGAGCCAGAAGGTAGGAATTCGGGACGCGCTTGTAACTATCCCTAAATCTCGTACTATGCGCGTGTAACTCCATCGACGGGTCATTTTGACTCTCTACACCACGTCCCTATGTGCTACACCTCTCCTGTCATTTTATACTTAAGCTTCATTTCACTTCTCTCCCTTCATGTCCTCGTCTCCTTTTTGGTTTAGCCCTCCTCTCCTCTCCCGTACTGCCCTCCCCTCCTCTCTCGTCTTGCCCTCCTCTCCTCTCCCGACCTACCCTCCCATCCTCTCCCGTCCAGCCCTCCTCTCCTCTCCTATCCTGCCCCCCTCTCCTCTCATGTCCTGCCCTCCCCTCCTCTGCCGTCTTGCCCTCCTCTCCTCTCCCGTCTTTCCCTCCCATCCTCTCCTGTCCTGCCCTCCTCTCTTCTCCTGTCCTACCATTCACTTGTGCATCCCAAATCCACCTAGGTGCTGCACAACTGTTGCTGTCCGCGAACTCGTTGGTGGGGTTTCTTCTGCGATACCCTAAATGTACGTCAAACCTTGGGCTACATAGATTTGCACACAACCATTGCTGTTGTACGGTTTTTTAGTGGACCCCAGGGTACAATCTATGGGAGATGTTGGGGGCACGGGGTGCTGGGATGCGATTTTCCAGTTTCAACAAACCAGGATTGTTAATTGTTGTTCCATTGGTTGTTGAGTATAATTGTATGCGTTTCTAATACGTTCTATGCATGTTTCCTATCACCACACACTGAAAATTACAACAATTGGGAGGCTGAAGGATGAGCCTAGAAGTCCTGCAGTCGTACCCATACCTTGTTTGGAGATGTCAGTTAACCTTCCATGCATCGGAAGATACTATGAGATTGTCTCAGTGTGGCCAGTGTATCTTACACTCGCCAATGTGGCATATTGGCCACGCCAAGAAGTGTGTGGGCCTCTATACGCGTATCATTAGTACGCCCTATACGTGTTTTGTTGTTTTTTTAACAATATCTACACCCTCCGTGCAACCTAAGCAACAGCAAGATTAAACCGTGTTATACCTACGTCATCTGCTATTAATGTAGACATATGCCAGGTTGAACCATGTCCGACATGCGGGCGTTCTTGCTATGCATGATGCAAGACACTGTACGTTGAGAAAGCTTGCTACCAACGTTGAGGTGTGAATAGATCCAGTCGTTAAAAACGTATATGCATTGTTTTGTCATACGTTGCTACTCTCTCAACGGTTGTTTATAAACTCTCCTTGTTGTTTACCATGTGCAGTTACCCAAACCGCAAGTTGCTTATCTACTTTAACTGGCACTGTGGGGAAGGGTCTAAAGAGCGAGTTAGGTCTAGTGACTCATCAGCAAAGTAATCAGAAGTGTTTTAGAGATTCAAAAAGCAACATCGTTTCGCACTATAGCTAGTCGGGGTATCTTGGTACCTCCATTACAACGTGTAGACTTGTTGCCGCCATTCCTTTTCGCGTTTGGAGTGCAAGAACCCATAGCAGAAGAGATGATGGGGAAGAGGACTCATACGATAATTACGGAGATAACTCTAACAAGAGGAGCTAGGATAGGGGGAAGGCACGGGGTGTTAGGGGTGATCTCTGCGTTCCTCAATTGTTTGCTCGTGTTCACACTACTTGCGTATTCACGAAGAAATTTGGCAAAAGTTTCACTAGCAAAGATTGACAACAATAGTCACACTGCAAAGCAACATTGACTACATCAGATGCTAGCATGCAAGCTGGTTGACTACCAGCGCAGCACGGTCGACCGCGTTTTTGCACCACAAGGTCGACCGCAACTCCAGCACTGAAATGTTGCGACCTACCAACTCTGCAAGTCGACGACGTGCCAACGCTGCAGCATGGCAGCTGCACATCGTTGCACCTGCAGGACGGCAGCGCACCCGCCTCGCAGGTGCTTGCAGCTAGTTGCGTGCTGTGCCTCGTCATGTGCACAGTGCAGACGCCAAGCCGACCACGTGCCCACGTCCGCACCTGATCCTCCATGTCGACCTCGGGATACCACACCGATGTCGGCTTCGCTAGATCCACCCGGACGACTGTCCGTGCACCTCCGCAGATCCCCGTCGCCCGGGTAACGCTTGGTCGACAAGGCATCCACCAAGTCGCGTCGACTTGTGTGTGCCAGCGCTGACCAGCTGCTGTACGTGCCCGTCGACCACGCAGGTCGACGACCACTAGCTGACTTTACCAAGTCGGCTTCCCGAGGTCAACGCCACACGAAATCGGTGCCCCTCAGGTGGACGCCCCGCCCCGAAGTTGGCGTCCCTCTCGGTGTCGACCATCAACCCGATCGACCACCCGTACTCGGCGCCCTCCAAAGTCGGCGCCCTCTAGGTCGGCGCCTTCCCCTCGTCGATCACATTGTTCGAAGTCGGCCGCCGGCGTCTTAAGTCGGTGGCGTTGCAGTGGCCCCGTGCAGGTCGACCAAGTTCGTCGACCTGCGCGATTAAGTCGGCTTCGCCCACTGCAGCTGGTCGGCCTGTGCTCTCCGAACACCCGACAACGAAGTCGGCTTCCCGCCCAAGCGAGGACGGGGCCAACACACAACTCCCGTTGACAATGACAAGACCGAGGTTTTTTGCGACAACGGAGGTGAGTTCGGAGAAGAGGAGGAAGATGGGTCATATGATCGACACTAAGAAGGAGATGTTTAGGTTTTTGTTGACACTCGAATGAAGTTTGTCAGACGTTAGTGTTCCCTTTTTAGGGTATAAAAGCAACCTTGTTTTGAACCAACACAGCCGATTGAGTGGGACCACAAAAGCTGCAACTTGATATGCATGGCTTGGAGTATTTGGGTGTCGCTAATTAGGAGTTTAAGACGGTTGATATAGTTGTAAGAGGATGGCCTTCATTGTTTCATGTCAAAAGTGAATCTGAAGGAGAAAAGATTGTGCTCGGATGGGTTTATGTAAACTCTATCGTAAATGTTATATCTGATTGAGTTTTGTTGTCTCGTAGGCCATAGAGAGGATGTGAGGGGGATGTGCGCAACACTCCTGGGTTCACACGGCACGCCGAAGTTAAGGAGGTGGATAACATTAGAGTGTATGATGTAGCTCACACCGGGGACTACTGGTTGGGTGCTCTGGTAAATACAATAATATTCTACATTTTCATTGCTGCCTCTTTTTTTCTCTCCCTCAACCCAACATCTACAGAAAGAGCTTGGACCCAATCAGTATGTTAGTCCACTCATTATATCGAGCGATGAGACCACATTGAGTGGTAGCGAACGATGATGTGCTTGGCCTGTGTACCAACAAGCGCAAGGGAGCGGAAAACAGGAATAACAACAATCATGCGTAAGTACAATCGGGCATGGCACCATACCAGCAAGCCGCTGGACCTCTGACGTGTAATCAAACCATATCCTCGCCCGCTTTCGCCAGCACTTCACAAGCTCCTTCGCGTATCCCTGCCGACAACAAAGGCAAGATCAAGGTGTTCACTTGCATGGTACATTGTGGTCCACCTCAAATCATCTGTTATTGTCGCTCTGTCCGCGGCTGGAAAGACATGTTCCGAGTTCCACCTGCCAAGGAAGAAGAAGGATTGGTTGAAGTCGACGAAGACTGTTATGTGATGCTATCATTTGCATTCACGTCTGAGTGCCTCCCATCTTATGTTCGTACGTTGCATGTGTGGTATGCGCGTGTGTGAAAGAATTTGTGTTCTGTTATGGTTTGGAGTTTGTTAATGTGTGTGACTGAAATGACTTCTCTATTCAAGAGCTCTCTGACGAACCAAGAATCGTCGCGATCGGACCAAGATTGAGAAAGTTATGATCGTTCGAAGTTATGGCTGTGTTGCGGCAACTATGTAGATTTGTGGGGTGACTTCATAAGAGGTACAGACCGTTGGGGGTTGAGAGAAGCCAAGCCAGGTTGGAAAGTGTGGCTAAGTTGGGGTGAGGTGGATGGCATGGATTGGGAAAGTGACAAAAGTCAAAGTGGGGTTAGCGAGGGAATGTTATGTGCTTATAGGGTTTCCTTAGTTGGGACTCCCTAGGGACCTTCCCTCTTGTCATCCTCATCCATTCCCACCTGGTTTGTAGCTACGCTAATTCTCTTGTGTGGTTCTTTGTTGAATATCGTGATTGAGTTAAGTTTTAGCTCCAGTATACCCGCTAGTGCGCCGAAATTCATCACTCGAGTTTTACTTCACCTCCTGATACGATTCAAATTGAGAATTCTAGCCATGGTCTAGAGCTACAATATATATGAGATTGGTGAAGTTTCAATGGCGATCTTTGAATCCCACCCCCACCTTCTTTCTTAACCCCAACCCATGGCCCACCACCTTCACTACAGTGCACCTGACATGGCTGCGCGTGTTTCACATAGACGGCCGGCCATTGTGCCCTATTCTCATCGTCCCCTTCCACCCTTGTACCCCCACCTTCCCCTTCCAGCAGGCACACCCGCACGCCAATGCAGTGCACCTGGCATGATTGCATGTTTCACAACAAGGCCCTTGTGCCCCGTTCTCACCAGCCCCTCCCTTCCTTGTTCCCCCACCTTCCCCTTCCAGCAGCACACCTGCACGCCACTGCAGTGCACCTACCATTGCTGCGGGTTTTCTGTAGGGCCTCTCATCCTGATATCTCTGCTCTTAACACCTGTCACAACCTACTAGGCACACCTGCACGGCATTGCAGTGCACCTTCCATTGCTGTGGGTTTTTGTAACGCCTTTTATCCTGCTATCTATTACATTCACCCACTTCTTTTCTCCCCCATTACCTCCTCCACTATTGAGTAGATGCAAATTCATGGGGCTTGCCGATGTGGCCAACAATGACGATGGGATGCTCTTCTCAAC